GAGTGATATTGCAATTAAACAACGTAGCAAAAAAATACAAGAGTACATTTAGTTGGTAGAAAATAACTACATGTTAGAAAATATTTTTCTATGAAAAATTATTTTTTAAAAAGAAATTATTCTCTTTATTTGAAATATTCTAGAAATTTTTTAATGAAAAATAATTTTTACTGTTCGGTTAGCAAAACGATGTTAAAATTTTGCCAAAATGGAGTGGCAAAGGAAATTGAATTGTTTATATAGAGTATGAAATAAGAAATAATTATTGTGATTTATATCTGATCATTATAATTAAAATAAACATTAATTTTTCTTTTTTCCTACAAAACGAAAAATAATGACCAATTCCTTAAATCCACAACCACTAAGAGGAGAGACAGAACTCGCCCTAAAAAAAGAAAGAGTAAGGACTTATTATTTAACATTTAATGTCCACCATACGGTAACTTCTATTAAAAAGGGTTGGTAACAAATTAATCATTACAAATTAAGTAATAAGTTATTTTTTTAAATTGATAATTTAAAATTTAAAAGATAATTTATCTATTATTTTTAAGAAGGATCTGTCTCTGCTTATTTTTTGTGGTGTGTACTTTGGGATTCAGCCAAAAATAATATACTAATTAATTATTATCCAATAATTATTGCTTAGGCCAGATGAAGATGATAAATAAACTGTCAATTAAATAAAACCTGTTGCCGAATATTCCGGAGGGGGGAAAGCATATTCTTGAAGCTGGGCAACCGGAGCATCCCCTGAATCACTTTCCATGTTAGGCAGTTTCTTAACCGCGCTGGTAGGGGAGATGATAAATAAACTGTGAATTAAATAAAACCTGTCTGCGGATCTTTCGAAGGAGGGATGATAATTTCTTGAAGCTGGCCAACCGAAGCATCCCCTGAATCATTTTTCACGTTAGGCTGTTTCATAACCGCACTAGCAGGGGAGATGATAAATAAACTGTGAATTAAATAAAACCTGTCTGCGAATCTTCCGAAGGAGGGACGGCATTTTCTTGAAGCTGGCCAACCGAAGCATCCCCTAAATCACTTTCCATGTTAGGCTGTTCCATAACCGCGCTGGTAGGGGAGATTATAAATAAACTGTGAATTAAATAAAACCTGTATGCTGATCTTCCGAAGGAGGGACGACAATTTCTTGAAGTTGGGCAACTGAAGTATCCCCTGAATCACTTTCCATGTTAGGCTGTTCCATAACCGCACTGGGAGAAGCCATTTCCGTCTTGGGCTGTTTCACCATACATAAAACAAATTAAAAAACTTCTTACTAAAAAAAATTAAAAAAAAAAACTTCGACATGTCTCTCAAGTCCCCACGGTCGTCCTATAGGCTCTATGATCTGTCAGAGGGTTTCGTCTGCCATTGTGCTGTTTTACCTGGTGTACAGGGTCCGTCCTCCGAATGGGGTTTCTCGGCCTTTC